CATTCCTGCCAGCTGGCCCCCAACCCCTGCCAAAGGCCATCATTGTCATCGTCATCGCCGGTGAGACTTCCCATGGGATACAGACACAATTGTAACAGATGGGAAGCTTCTTAGTGGTCAAATGGATACATTGTTGGCTTTTTAAGTAGGAAATTGTTTTCTACAACTAAAATTACTTGAATTGTTAGACAGCATAATCTCAGTTTGTATTCATTTTTGGATGCTTCCATTGAGCAAGTGTAACAATCCATGAAATGTGAATAAATGGAAAGTAAACAAAGTGGTGGTGTTGGGCACGTTTGTTCTTTGCTGCAGTTGGTGGGGATACAAGTCAGGCTGACCTGTGGAGAATGTCCCAGAACTGCGAACAGCACAAGTATGGAACCCCCCTGAATGGCGGGTTGGGCGTGGAGGGGCTACGTGAGAGCCTGCCTGTTGCCAGGCCCCGTGTACGTTGGCCAAGTGTTACTTTTGGATGAACATCTTCACAGATCCGGATGGGAATAATAGATCCATGCCTGGCTAGCGTGCAAAGCATCCTGCTAGGTGCTTTCTGTATGTTACTTGCTAGGCCTCAAAGCAGACCCCTGCTTTGACATGTGAGCTCCATGGCAGGTTTTATGAAGAAACTGGAGTTTAGGGAGGTTAAGTTCCCCTTGTAAAACAAAAAAAAAGTGGACTTGGGATTTGTGTTCAGGTCCATCTCAGTAGAAAAAGGATGTTTTAAAAAACTAAAGCAAGGGGACCAGCAGGTGGTGTGGTGGTCAAGGTGCTGGATACTCCCACTTGGCTGACCATAGTTCAAGTCCCGGACCTGGTGGCTTGCTTTCTCGCTTTCTCTCTCTCTTTCTCTCTCTCTCTCTCATTGTATGTCCCTCCCTGGTCAAGTTAAAATAAATAAATGAAATTAAATAATTTTTTTAAGAAAACTAAAGCAAAATTATCAAAAAGGATATAAAATTACTTTTAGTTTGTGTAAATTAACTCTGGTTTAGAAAAATCACTATTAGGCCATTCATAGGTTAAAGACATACAATAATGATAGTATTTTAAAGCTACATGTTTTTATCAGGCTTAGAAGAAATGAGTGTATTGGACCATGGAAAGCAAAGGCCCCTTTCTCTCCAAATACCAGTTTCCTGGTTTTAAAAAAAATTTTTTCAGGGCCAGTTTGTAGTCTGGTGGTTAGGATGGCTGTTTCCCACATGGTTGACTGGTTCAAGTCCTGGGCCCAGTAGCTTGAGAAACACTGGGCACATGTGCATGCATGCTCAAAATACTGACACCAGGGAGAAGGAAGAGAAGGGACTGTGGTGTGACCATGCCCCATGGGGGTGTGCTTTCTCTTTCTCCCCTTAGCAAGCACATGTGTTCTCTGGCAAACTTAAAAAAACGTTTTTTCAAAGAACTAAGTTATTCATAGCCAAGTATTTGTTCTTAGCTATCAGTAAATGTACTGAAAACCAGAGGATGCTGTCCAGAGGGTAAGATTGCTCTAACTTCACCAGCCAGAGGGCTGGGCTAGGACGGGTCCACAAGTGTGGTTCTGGGGCTGGCAGCACCCAAGTGTAAACCCTCAGGGCACACCATGGGCTCACTGAATCAGAACTGGGTCAGGCCCCCCTTTATAGAGGTTTTGGTTTTTTTGTTTGTTTGTTTTGTATAAGGCATGTGTGTTTGCCAGACAGAGACAGAAAGCGAGAAATAATCCCCCCAGCAGGGATGGCCACGCCACAATCCTTTCTCCATCCTCTCAGGATTTTGGGCATGCACACACATGTGCCCAGCATGAGTTTTAAGTGCCAGGCCTGGGACTCAAACTGCCATCAGCTACATAGGAGTCTAGCCATGTAACCATCACGCCATCTGCTGGTCCCCAGATTTCACCTTGGAAGTACTCAGGGGCTCATAGTATCGTCACAGAGTTGTGCAACCATCAGCACCATGTAACTTGGTATTTTTATCAGGCATTGGGTGTGAACAGGTGTTTCTGAGGCATGCTCAAGTTTGAGAACCACTGGCACCCACATGTACCCCATGACTGACTGACAACCTATGAAACACCACTTGGGTACATTTTGGGGGAGACGGCAGATTACCAGAATAGCCAGGAATTGTGCCAGCCCTTGTCTCATCGCACTCCAGGAACATACAGGGTGAGGAAGGGTGGGCCCAGGGTGGGGTGACACCTGACCTGCTCAGCTCTCCCATGTCTGCTCCCAGATAGGTACCCGTTAGACAACTAAGCCTAAGTGGTTGCTGGAGTCGGCTGAAATGTTGTGAGCAAAATAGTTTATTCAAAATAGAATCATTAAAGTCCACTAAACATGGTTATTTCAAACTGAGCAACCTAATTGTTTATTAAAGTCAGATTCCAAGATGAAAGACCCTTAATCCACACATAGGAAAGAAATATCTTGTTAACCGTGGGAAGAGAAGGGACTGTGGTGTGACCATGCCCCATGGGGGTGTGCTTTCTCTTTCTCCCCTTAGCAAGCACATGTGTTCTCTGGCAAACTTAAAAAAATGTTTTTTCAAAGAACTAAGTTATTCATAGCCAAGTATTTGTTCTTAGCTATCAGTAAATGTACTGAAAACCAGAGGATGCTGTCCAGAGGGTAAGATTGCTCTAACTTCACCAGCCAGAGGGCTGGGCTAGGACGGGTCCACAAGTGTGGTTCTGGGGCTGGCAGCACCCAAGTGTAAACCCTCAGGGCACACCATGGGCTCACTGAATCAGAACTGGGTCAGGCCCCCCTTTATAGAGGTTTTGGTTTTTTTGTTTGTTTGTTTTGTATAAGGCATGTGTGTTTGCCAGACAGAGACAGAAAGCGAGAAATAATCCCCCCAGCAGGGATGGCCACGCCACAATCCTTTCTCCATCCTCTCAGGATTTTGGGCATGCACACACATGTGCCCAGCATGAGTTTTAAGTGCCAGGCCTGGGACTCAAACTGCCATCAGCTACATAGGAGTCTAGCCATGTAACCATCACGCCATCTGCTGGTCCCCAGATTTCACCTTGGAAGTACTCAGGGGCTCATAGTATCGTCACAGAGTTGTGCAACCATCAGCACCATGTAACTTGGTATTTTTATCAGGCATTGGGTGTGAACAGGTGTTTCTGAGGCATGCTCAAGTTTGAGAACCACTGGCACCCACATGTACCCCATGACTGACTGACAACCTATGAAACACCACTTGGGTACATTTTGGGGGAGACGGCAGATTACCAGAATAGCCAGGAATTGTGCCAGCCCTTGTCTCATCGCACTCCAGGAACATACAGGGTGAGGAAGGGTGGGCCCAGGGTGGGGTGACACCTGACCTGCTCAGCTCTCCCATGTCTGCTCCCAGATAGGTACCCGTTAGACAACTAAGCCTAAGTGGTTGCTGGAGTCGGCTGAAATGTTGTGAGCAAAATAGTTTATTCAAAATAGAATCATTAAAGTCCACTAAACATGGTTATTTCAAACTGAGCAACCTAATTGTTTATTAAAGTCAGATTCCAAGATGAAAGACCCTTAATCCACACATAGGAAAGAAATATCTTGTTAACCGTGGGCTCCTGGAGCACCTGTATCAGGAGACAACTAAGAGAAGCCATAAGGAAGCAAAAGGCAGTGTGGGCCTTTCACCCCCAGAAAGAGTCTTCCCCTCCTCGTGGAAACTTGCCAGCCATCTGGCCATCTAACACGCACAGGTACAGCGGGGTCACAGCCGACACGGGTATAAACAGTGAACTCCGTCATCGTGGGAGTTACTTCACACTCCCTCTCCCGGGATACGAGTCCCACAGGTTTTCCTCAACAGCTGCTCAGCTACAAAACCTGTAGTTCCTCAAAGTTCTTCCAGATCAGAATCAAAGAACTGAAACAGACCCTCAGCCTTGCAGGGCAGGCGATTAGTAAGAGCGAGGTTATTGCAGGTCACTTTCAAGGGAGAGGGGCTTTCTCCGAATACCAGGCCTCCCAGGTACTTACAAGGGGTGGGTGTTGATCTGGATAGCAGGGATGTCTGGGACCTGCTGACTGCGCCTTGCAGACAGCCATGGGGTATGGGGGGGGTGGAAGCTGCTCCTGGTGGGTGTTAAGGCAGTGACAGGTTCCAAGAGGTTCATTCCTGTATTCCGAATGTGCCTACGTGCGCCTCTCGGGCCCCTTTTCTGTGCTCATCTTCTGTAACTTTCTACAGTGTCTTAGGCTTTACCTCATCACCTGTGTTACCAGTTTATTGGACCATGGAAAGCAAAGGTCCCTGTGTGAACGTGATTGAGGCCACCTCCACCTGGGGAGGAACCTGGGGGAGCGGCTCCTAGGATGGACTGGGAAAGCTGGGAGCACGCTCCCGGCCTGCTGCACTGCACGGCTGCAAGGGAAAACACCCCCTGTTGGAAACCTCATCTTCAGATGACCAGGAAGCTTCTTGGGGGCCTGCCAAAATTGAACTCAGGACTCGGCTTCTGGATTCACACTCCCCACTTCTGTGAGGGTTTTTTTTAGGAAGTTCTTTAGAAAAACCTTAGAAAATTTTACAGTACCACTAAAAGGGTTACCCTATTTTATGGGTGCTCAGAGCCAACCCTGAAACACATCTTGTGATTTAACTCTGCCAATGTGGTCTCAGGCCGGGGCACAGTGCTGACCGGCTGACCCCGTCACAAGCTCCTCACTGGCCAACAGCGGCCAAAGTCAGCCCGGGGTGATTCTGCCAGCTCCCATCACATTCCACAGTGAAGGCACCAAAAGTGTAATTGGGGCCAGCAGGTGGTGAGGATAGGGTGCTGGACTCCCACATGGCTAACTACGGTTCAAGTCTTGGACCTGCTGGCTTGAAGATCACGCCGGACAGGTGTATATGTGTTCCCAAAATCCCGAGAGGAGATTGGAGAAGGGACTGCAGCAAGGTCATCTCCTCTGGGGGTGACTTCCCTCACTCCCTCTCTGGCAAGCATGTGAGCCTTATGGCAAAAGCCAAAAAAAAAAAAAAAAAAAGGGAAGGAGTCTGGGGCAAGTAAGGCTCAATCTCTAAGTTGCACTGTGCTGTGAAGTCTGCAGGGTGTTTAAAACGCCTGTTACAGAGAAGTAGGCACAGGTTCCCACAGGGAAACAAAGATAAATTTTGCATCCAACATGCAAACCAACTTTCAACAGAAATACAAAATCATAAAGCAAAACTAACAGCCAACCACAAACAGTGCATATTTGTGCCAATGTACACCTTCATGATGTTTCCATGTTTTTGTAGAAATCATGAATTAAGTCTCAAAGTCGTGGAAAATCTCAGCAAGGATTCTTTGCAGATTTACTTGCTCCCACACTGACTTTCTTTGGGAGATCACTCTTTATACCTGAAATGCCTGACCTTCCAAGAACTGGGGACTAAAGGACAAAGAGGGGTGAGAAAGTCTGAGCTGAATGCTTCGAGCTGCTTGGCAGAGTGGGAGGGCGGGCCCTTTTATCTCCTGAGCCTAAGATGCCTGATTTCAGTTGCCCAGTTGCCCTAGGAACAGTAGAAAACCGCAAACACAAACTCTTCCTACACCTGTGGCTTCCTCTGCTCCTGAGGTTCCACCTGCAGAACTCGAACCCCACCACAGGCCCCTGGGTGTCAAGTCATCTGACTTCCCTGAGTGAGCTCTCAGGAGTGCTGGCGGCCCAGCAAGGCCTGGAGGACTCTTTTCCCCACTGAGGACCACATGAGTCTGTGAAAAGAAAAAGGAGGCTCCCAGCCTCTAACTCCCAGGTCATCTGCAGAAGGCCAGACTGCCACTGGCCACCAGATCCTCCCTGAAGGGCTGCTGCTGACCCTCCAAGGCTTCTTCCATTCAGGGTTCAGGGTCCTTGCAATTTCTCCCGAGAGTCTCTGTCCTGCTAGGATGGTTATTTCTTTTTAGGAATTCTTTCTTATTTTTATTTTTTTGAGAGGTTTTTGCTATAGGGCGCGTGCACTCACCAGACAGATAGAGACAGAGAGACAGAAAGCGAGAAATCACCCCCCAGGGGGGATGGCCACGCCGCAATCCCTTCTCCTCCATTCTCCTCTCGGGATCTTGGACACGCACACACACCCGGCATGAGTCTTAAGCCACCGGGTCTGGGACTCGAACCGTGGTCAATTACATGGGAGTCCAGCAACTTAGTCATTACACTAACTGCTGGTCCCTCTTTTTAAGAATTCTTTATTTAATTTTATTATTATTTTTAAATTTGCTGTAGGGAAGGCATGAGAGAAAAGTGAGAGAGCAAGCCACCGAGTTCAGGACTCGAACTACCGTTGGCCATGTGAGAATTCAGTGCTCCAACCACAATGCCACCTGCTGATCCCTAGGATGGTTATTTTTAAAAGATAAATACTTCTATTTTCGGATACAAGGACAAGAGCAAGCCTGAACAGGAAGAAACAGACACATTAAAGGTACTTGGGGCCAGCCAGTGGGTATGGTGGTTAAGGCAGCTAGATCTCCCATTCGACCAACTTCATGGTTCCAGTGCCAGACCCAGTGGCTTGAAAACCAAGCCAGGTGCATGTGTGTGCACGCGTGTGTGTGTGTGGTGTGTGTGTGTGCCCAAAATGGAGACAGGGCTACAGTGTGGCCATTGCCCCTGGGGGTGCTTTCTGACTTGCCCTCCCTGTCTCTCTCTAGCGAGTGCACACATACCCTATAGCAAAATTAAAATAAAATAGGGTACTTGATTTCCGAAACTAGATATGAAACCAAATTGCAGCTAACTTTGGAAAACTAAAGAGAATATATATCAGTGGAACCTGTTAAACCAATCTTATATATATATGCCCTTTAACTGGCCAACAATTTAAAACTACCATATTATGACACTTTCAAATATGTATTTTTCAAAAGTCAGTCATTAGATTATACCAACTGTGGGCCAGCACAGTTGGTGGATAAAGGCCCTGGATTCCTACATGGTCGACCGTGGTTCGAGTCCTGGACCTGGCGGCTTGCTTTCTCGCTTTCCCTCTTTTCTTTTTTTTCTCTCTCTCTCTGGTCAAATTAAAAAATAATAACAAATGGAATTAAATAATAAAAAGAGAACATACCAACTGCACAGGGACCTCCTTCTAGAATGTTGCTTAATGCAAAAAGGTTTTTATTCTTCAGAAGTCTTCTACTAACTTGTGATAAAAACAGCAAAACAGGTCCTGGTGTGATTTCAGCTAGATTTGGGGGTAGGGGCTGGGGCATGCCTCTGTGGTCGCGTGGCCGGCACCCAGCGGACAGAAACCTCGCTGTTCTGATGGCAGGCGCACGGTCCCAAAGTCAGCGTCAGCGGTGATCCGACTCGCACCTGTCCCAGCTTCACTGGGCCCGAGACTGTTTTGCTGCTTCTTGTTCTCTTCTGACACTTCTCTGTTATTTGTGTTTTAAATAATATTCTCCGTTAGAAGTAAGGGCCTTGGTTGTTTCTGTATGCAGCTCTAAGCTCTGGAGAGACACCAGACCAGGCCAGCGCTCCCAGGACACCGGGCGCTGAAGGAAGGCGTCGGTGGGGATACGATGACCTGCCAGAACCGAGGTCATGACACCTCGTTAAAAAAAAAAAGAAAAAACTTCTTTCTGAATGTCCTAAAACAACGAGGTTTCCTGAAAGGAAAACCGTACTTTAATTCTGGTTTCCACGAAAACATGTATGCGTACTCGGTCAACCCTGTGTCATACCAGAGACGGGCACGTTCCCTGAAAACGAATTGTTCTACAAGTCAAGTCCCCATACCAGAACGTCTGTCCTTACTCTGTTGTTCCTGATGTCACCATGAGAAATGTAACGGCCTACGGTCTGGTTACCAAGGGGCCTGCACCACATTTTAAATTCAGTATCAGAAGTAGCCTCTGGAGAGAGTTCAAGACCGACAGATGGACTCCACTCACGTCTACACCTCTGGGCGGCAGAGCAAGGTTCTAGGCACACATGGGGCCTGAGTCTGACTGCTGCACCAAGGCCTGCAGTTCACTGGGGTGGTCTGCTCAACCCCTCTGGCTGCTTCCTCACCTGTGAGATGGGCATACGCGTATGGGGGGGTCTCCACGGAAAATGCATATTCTGAACAAACTGAGCGTGGGTTTTCAGAACATTTTGCACCAGAATAAACTCGTCCTTGAACTCCACTTCTCTGGGTTAACTTTTTGAAGTGCCCTTGTAATACTTGATGTTCAGAGCGGGCCTGCAGGTGGCGGCTGCACCTAAGTGGCAGCTATACGGCATCCGCAGGCTGCACAGACGGGTGAGCCCCATGCACTGCCATGCGCTTGCATGTCTGGTTCTGCAAAGCAGTTCCACACGCTATTGCCCTCGGTCCTCGGTCACCCCAGGGGCAGCCCACCATCTTCCCACTCGCACTCCTTGTTCTGGGCAGAAGGTAGGCCGCTACCTCGCTGGGCTGGCCCTCCTTCCACAGAACACCTGTCAGGCCCGTGCGTCTCCCTAGGTCCCGGAGTCTTCAGACCCCAGAGTGACCACAAGAAGAACAAGCTGGGCTGCAGCGACCCTGACGTGAGCATCGGCACCCCTGGGAATGCTCCGCGGTGTCCCAGAATGCAGCCGCTCAGCTCCGAGGCTCAGCTCGGGCATCTGGGGCCCGTCCTGACTCTGCGGCCCTGAAGTACTGGAGCATGGTGCTGTGCAGAGCCGGGCGCCGTGGGGGACGGGAGGACGTCCCCAGTCCACCCCACACAGGACACTGCTCTGGCTAGGTTCTTAACAACAGGGCGAGGGAGGGAGCACCCAGCAGCGCGGCTGCCCCAGCTGTGCAGTGACTGGTGATCGCACACCCTGACCCAGCCCTGCACTCGGACCCGGGGGCTTCAGTGAGGTAGGTGGTGGCAGCCCCATTGTACAGGTGGGCAAGTTGAGGCAGAATGAAATGCAATAGCTCGCTTTTAATAACAACATACAAAATCTGGAGAGCCGAAGTAGTCCCCTGTCCCGGAGCCCATGAGTAAAAGCACGAGGAGGAGCCCCTCCCTCCTCCTCTTCTCCCCATAAAGAAGATCTCTAAACACACCGCCGGGCCCTCCCGTGTTCCTGGGGACTTCAGAAAAAGCAACAGAGACCCAGCTTCCAGTTGATTCCCAGGCGGGTCGGGGGGCCTCTGCTCTGGAGGGGCACGATGAAGGTCACAGGTGGAAACTCCTGCATGCTGGGTGAGGCCACGGGCTGGCCTGGGCTGGGCGGCCGTCACCAGGCTGCCGCGTGCAAGCCAACTCCCCTTTGCCTCGGTGAGCTCTCTGAGAAGTGGGACAGCACACTCGGTCAGAGGAAAAAGCTCTAGGAAGCCGGGGAAGATGAATTAACACTCCATCCCCTCGCCGGACCCCCAGAGGCTGGAGGATCCACCTAGAACCTTCCCAGGAAGATGCCAACCTCACCCCACCTCAGACACCCTTCAGCAGAAATCCTGCTCTCTGCCTGGCTGCAAGGCCACCTGCCCCTGGAATCCCAGTCCTGTGGTCGCTCCAGCCGAGGCCCAGAGCGCGGCGTCTCTAGGTTAGAGGTGTGTATGTTGGCGGTGTTCTTTGGCTGGAAGCAAAAGGCCATTCTGGCGGGATCGGGGCCCATCTGCTCAGCTCGAGGCCTTTCTGGAACTGGGCGTAGGATGAGGTATCCCCAGCCCAGGGCGAAGCCACCACCCCCATGGTGACTGTTATGACCAAATGGTAAGGAGGGAGGGCAGGTCACAGCCTGGCTGCAGAAGGCCATTGGTGCGGCGTGACGGGGCCTTACACTGGGCTTCCTTAGGGGTGCTGACAGTTCACACTGTGCCCGCCAGGCGTCAGGTGTTCACGCCTCGCTAGGTGTGAACCCAGAGCAGCAGGCAGACACATCCCAGACGCTGGCTCTCCCGGGCACGCTCTCATGGCCTCTTGGTGTCTCTGGTCCCCATGGGTGCAGAGGGCTCTCCGGAGACGGCTGGGGGTGATGGCGGTGGTGCAGGGCGGGGCAGAGCCACGGGAGGAGAAGAGGCACTTCAGTTTGGGCTGGTGTCCGTGGAGTCGGCCCTGGCCCAGGAGCCGGGTGGCCTCCCCTGGCTGTGGCTCCAGCGCTGGCTTGTCACAGAAGACCCGGTGGCGGTGGACAGGTAGGCACTTGGCAGCGCTCCCAGGGCCTGGCAGGGCCAGGGGCTCCGCGCGGCTCCGCACACGGCTAGGTCATCAGGATGGGCTTCTGCCGGACCTCCAGGATGTCTAGGACCAGTGGGGGACAGACTGAAGGAGAGCCCGACAGCAGTGCTGTGGCCACTGTAGCCTCATTTAAGAGGAAGCCCCTATAAGGAGCCCACACACCTCTGCAGACCTCACCACACTGCAGAAGCCCCTGTAAGGAGCCTGTGTCTGCAGACCTCACCACACTGCAGAAGCCCCTCTAAGGAGCCCATGCACCTCTGCAGACTTTACCACACTGCAGAAGCCCCTGTAAGGAGCCCATGCACCTCTGCAGACCTCACCACACTGCAGAAGCCCCTGTAAAGAGCCTGTGTCTGCAGGC